ATGAGATTGTATTTAATAAGTCAGACCATGCTATCCCCGGTTTAAAAGGATTTCCCTTTCGAGACTTCAATATAGAACACATGTATTTTCGTTTGTACTTATATTGCATATGCATATTGACTTTGGGTTGTTGTTTTTGATGTTGTTTTCCCTACTAAAAATGACCAGTATTTTGTCTTCAATTTATAACCATTTTAAATTAACTCAATTATTTATTAATGAATCGGGTAAATATATTCCTTAATATTGTTTCAAGTTGTACACTAAGTTCTTAATTTGTTTTTTTGGAAACTGAAGCGTGAAAGCGTAAGCATATCTTAGCTTTTACAAGAAAAGTAAGTATAAAGTAGTTATCGCTGAGTCGCTGACTACATATATTGTAAAGGTCAATATGAGGATTGTTTATTCATAATTTGACATCAACATGTATATAGATCGAAATTACAAGACATTTTCCAGTTATGTATTTTGATGGCCTGTGTATAAGTGTATTATATATAATCTCGTTACTATTCGTAATTTTCAAGGCTGAAATTGGGAGGATGCGAGACGGTCTGAATGTTACTGTTACTGTCTGTCACCGTTCGAAGTTTTAGCTGTCTAAAGCGTCACCATCGTCCATCGTTAACAATAATTTGATAATTAACAGTAAGATTGAAAAGCTAATAATGCAAAGGAAATACTTGGATTGTTTGACATTAAATTTGGTAATCAAGTTATTGTGAACTTTGAGCAACCAAAATTTGTTCTCAAACAGTCCAAGTATTTCTTTTGTGTTAAATAACTGGTTTTTTAAACTATATGTTACAGATCCGAGTGAATTCGGATAAACTCTTAATTAAAGCATAAAAGAAAGAAGAAATGAATTGTGATGAATTCCCACTTGTCTAGGGGTTTCATTATATTGTGTGAATAACAATAAACCGTAAAGACGTTCTTATAAGCTTTAAAACTTGATATCAATAACCGAAGCTACTAACTGATCCCTTATAAACTTATATCCATGTTTTCGGCCCGAATCAGTCTGGCTACTGGCGAAGCGAAGATACGTACACAAACTATAAGCTATACTGGCGAAGCGAAGATACGTTCAAATGGTTTTGTGGTATGGTTCGTTAAACTTTTTACGGTTTGATAGGAGATTATGTAAGTGAGGGCTAAGTTGTGTTTGTACATGATTAAAAGTGGGGAAAGTGCTATTTCAAAATAAAGTACCAAAAACTATAAATACAAATTGAAAAAATGCCAAGGGGTGTAAAGTGCCTCAGAGTGTAGGCGCTTACACTCTGAGGCACTTTATGAGTTTGTATTTACACTCCACGACACTTTAGTTTAAAGCAGCACTTTATTATAGATTTGGGTGTGAAAATAACATCGTTGCCCTTACCATATAAGAGAGGAACTTGGTTTATATTTTCCGAAAATAAACCGAGTTATAAACCGAGTCTAACTTAACCGAGATACATCGTTGATATTACGTTCTCTAACACTCCGGGAAGCTTTGCCCTCTATATTCTGATATTCAAATTGTCATCTCAATCACGATTTGAATTTGTATCAAGGTCAAAGCTACGGCGGTCTGATGGAAACGCCAGCGCTGAATCTGGGCTCGCGTTATGATATCTGATTTCGAAGCACAGAAGGAACAAGGTAGCACAGTGTAAATTTTGGCGTCTGAAATGGGGATCGGGATCGAAATTTAGTTAGGTTCGAGAAATAGCTATTGTTAGATTGAGACCGAAGATTTCATTCGGATTGTAGATGGCTGAAATGCAGTGCGCAAACCAATTTCATTCGGATTGTAGATACAGAGTACTTCGAAAATTTCATTCGGATTTCATTCGGATTGTAGATACAGAGTACTTCGAAAACCAATTTTGGGCGTTCCTTTACTCTTACCATTTGTTGTGGTACATAATGCGCAAACATAATGGATGGTGATTCATAATCGATAGGATCGGCATGGATGGTACTATAACAACTAGTGAATAGATCATATTATGTGAAAGTCTTTTATGGTACATATATGAATGTAATGTCTCTGCGTTTTGTGGAACCAAACCTTGGCCAGAGCAGTGTGGACTCCTTTTCCTGGTAACTATTACGTGGATAACTATAACCTGATATCTATTGCGTGGATAACTATATTGTTTAGGCGATAGCAACATGGCCAAAATGGGCAAGGGAGTTAAATTTCCACAATATGACAGGTGTTATAATAGTATCCATTAGATGTATCAGTGTTGTTATATAGAAAATAGAAAAAGGGTTCGATGGTGATTAAAAGAGTTCGATGGTGATGTATATTTTCTGTAATTCTTGGTCCATATAACAGGGGGAGTTGTTAATGTAGGTAAAACAATACTTTCCGCGTGCAAGGGTATGACGGTGGTGACTAACATCTGTATTCGGTCTAGTTCCGATCACTTTTTGGGGGGGATCGCTAATGGAAGAGAAATAAAAAAAAGGATTGGTGCATTTAAAGTTAGGTTTACATAATTCGAAATTATAATATATTACAAAAGTGTAGATGGCTATAGCAAACCATAAACAAAAGAAGGACATGGATATCCATAAAGCAAGGGAGTCTTAAACTAGCCCCTCATAGTGGATTTGTACAGCTGATGCGGTTATGCCCACTCTGGTGGCATCGTCCACACTTGTTCTGAACTGTTTTCTTGATCCGGTTTGGCTTCATATGCAGATAAAGTTACCATTAGAAACAAACAAATATATAGTGTAGTATGTACAAAAAACAAATGGCGACTTACCCGTAACTCTCCTTTTGAAGGAATTCTTTTTCCTGTAGGCCTGCCTGAAGGTCTTTTAGATTTAGGAGGTAGTAAGACCATGTCAACAATAGATTGAGGGAGATCGGCATCGTCAGGATCTCCTTCAGGGTTAATTACTTCCTTGTAGGTGGCTGCCCAGGTGGATGTTTTTGTAGTAGTCAGATAGCAGAGATGAATAGGGCAATCCCAAACTGTCCGCAGCTATCAATGCGTGGCTACAAGGTATCTGTAGGCGATCATAAACCTTACAACTGCATTTCTTATCGTGGACCATAACGCGATTCTTTTCTACCAAACGACCAATTACCTCGCAACTCCCATTGGATAAGTGGTTTATTTTGCTGAGGGTGCCTTCTGCTTTGTGCTTAGTTATCAATTTGTCAACTTCAGGTGTTGATAGACCTTCCCATTTGGCCGCTTTATTCCGGCGTGCACAAAACCAACGAGACATCATCCTCTGGATGAAAACAAGCAGCTCGACAATGGGTGAGGCTCGACCTTTCTTCAAAGCATTATTAAGTTGCTCTGCAGCGTTACTAGTCATGATGTTGAATCGTTCACCCCTAAAATAATAGTGTGACCAATGGGCATGACCAATGGTTTCCAGGTATGCGGCACACTGAGGACTACAGTCCCGTATTTTGTCAAACGCATCGCGAAAATTGCCTTGCCTATAGGCGTAAGCTGCATTTGAAAGAAGTGTGGCCAGGCCCTTGTTCTTAAATCTCGACTTGACGTTGCGCTGAAGATGAACAATGCAGGCACCGTGGTGTGCCTTAGGAAAAACCCTTTCTTTTGCTGTGTAAATTGAATCAGCACGATCTGATATGATAGTCAGATTTGAACTGTCAGATAGTAAATGTTCCACTTTCATAAAAAACCATGTCCACGCGTCTTCGTTTTCGGCGTCAACAACGGCATATGCCAAGGGAAAGACTTGGAAATTGGCATCTTGCCCACAAACCGTTAGCAGAACTCCTTTGAAATTGCCCCATAAATGTGTGCCATCTACGATCAGAACCCGGCGTAGGCAACGAAATCCTAAAATTGATGCCCCAAAAGCAACGAAGACATAGCGGAATCTCAGCGAACCATCTTTATCTGTATCGGTTTCTAACGCAGTTACTGTGTTGGGATTGGCAAGCTTTAGCATATGAAGGTAGGCAGGAAGCCGCAAGTAGGAATCCTGGTCGTGTCCACGGAAGGTAGCAAGAGCTTGTCCCTTGGCGCGGTAGCATTTCATCCACGATGCAGAAACTCGTTGTTCCTGTAGAACCAGTTGTTGAACCGCGGAAGCGTTTGGGCCACTTGCTGGATCACTGTATTTGGATTTTAATACAGAAGCTATAATTCGTGAAGTAGCTTGTTTGTGGAAGTCTTGTTTTGTTTCGTAGGCGCATGTATGTTCCAGGTCCACCATTTTAAGTTCGAAATACCCCGGGGTGTAGGCGCTTACATAAAGTACATATTTTGGAACTTCTTTAGTTATTAATTACAAAAAATGACACTTTTGTTTAGAGTAGTTCTTTTTCCAAATTTATACACGTGAAATGGCTTTATAGTCCTTGTGCAGAATATTTGTGGGAAAACCGGTTAAGTTGAGTCTGCTAACCGATATTTTTATTGATTAACCAGAATAATATTTCTCATCATCTCCTTCTCTCAGATCCCTTTTCTTCATTTTCTCCACCTTGTTCTATTTCTCTCAGATTTTTCTATTTTTCAATCTATCTCTCAGATCCTACTTCTTCCTCTTTTCCATCTTATTCTCTTCTCTTGGATTTTTATCTCTTTCTCATATCTCTTTTCTTCTTTTTCTCCACTTTGCTCTCTTCATTTTTTTTTTCATTGACAGTGGCCACAAACTTTCTCCACCACCACATCTCTTCGTCTTACCAACATCACCGCCACAATCTCCACTGTTAATCGCATTGTGGACAATCCTCTCTCACATTCAAACGACCACCGCTGCTATCATCTCTGTTGCTGTCCATGTAGCCATCTATGCTGTTTTCCATGCCGTTGTCCAAGCCTTTTGGCCTCTCCGCCGTTGTCCATGAGAAAAATGCGATGACCCCACAACCATTTTGCTTCTTCTACCAATAGACATGAAGTTTATAGGCGTATCTACACAGACAAACACTTTGTCCATCATGACTACGTCCATGATATATTTTCTATTGTGACCACATCTATAATGTACATATATAGTGGATTTAATCTATCAATGAAACACACCGACTTAGCCTTGTCCATATGGACACAATTACCATGTACACATGATCTAAACATAACAGACACAAAAAAAAACTTGGCCTTGTCCACACGATTACAATATATATATAAATCTACAGTATGTATTTACCACATAGATTCATATATGTGTAAAATACATGGATATGTATAAATTTCTTGGAATAGGGCAATAATAGCGTATGACCATTCCAACTGATGCATTTCGACATAGACGTATCTACATGTATCAAAGATTTAGTATTTGGAATGATGTATGCTTTTCACTATTTTGGTTAATTATGATGTTGGTTCTTTAGTTATGGTTTTAAATACAATATAGTCGCATCTATATGGACATTGACATAATGGATTATTGGTTTGCCTCTATATGGACATGGACATAATGGATTATTGGTTTCTATTATTTTTATATTAATTTAGACGAGATTATTTGTGTCTATTGATGCTGGAAGCTAAGCAATGAACGCATATTTGATTGTTTTAAATTATCCTTGTAGTCATGGACATGTCCACATGGATAGGTTTCTATCTGATTGTTATAAATTCTCCTTGTAGTTATAGCCACATATATCCTATTTGGTATCTATGGTTAGGTACATCTATTTTGTGGACATGGTTAAGTACGTATATTCTATGGGTATATGAATAAGTGAGACAATATGAACGCTTGTAGAAAAAGTGAGACAGTATAGACGCTTGTAGAATCTTGTCCAATCTAGTGTGAGTTTAAATGTGAGGAACTTGGTGGTATGGTTATTGTGTTCTTTTTAATAAACCATGTACATGTAATGGTGTTATGGTCGTTGTGCTCTAACTTTTCTTATATTATTGTCGGGTTGAAAGATCATTTGGCTGCCTTGCATTGGCCTGTTCTTTTGAATAGTTATGGACATATCCACATGGATAGATTTTTATCTAATTGTTGTATATTTTCTTTATAGTTATGGACATACCCACATATGTTCAAGCCAGTATAACATTACATGTACTTATAAACCTACAAGCCGTTCTTATGCTATGAGAAACTATCAAACATGCTTAAAAGCTTTAACTATATGGAAGTGTGACAATGGTATATGTGAACGAAATCATGCACAAATGCATATGTGAATATATATATATATATAATAAATCATCTTTGTGGATATGACCATATTGAAACGAAGGATTATCATGCATTGCTTTTGTCCTTGTGGATACGTTCACACTGTAATATGTAGACACGCCCATGACTAACAAAACTAGTTAACGTCCTTGGTGTAGATAAGTCTACACTGATACGTCCGCACTACTGCGTTCACACCATTGCGTTTATAACGTCCTTGGCAGTATGTGTGGATGTGACTATATCTCTGACTTGGTGTAATAAACAATGTTGGCGCAGCAATTCATTAGACTACACATGTTAAGTGGTCATGTGTGGCTAAGCCATTGGTATAGTTAATTAAGGTATATAGATGTAGCCATATGGATGTAGCTATATCAATGAAAACACGTACAAAGATTGTTGGCAGTATGTGTGGATGTGATTATATCTTTGATTTGGTGTAATAAAAAATTTTGGCGCAGCAATTCATTTGACCATATACATATGGCTATATCATCCATTGCTTAACCATATATGCCCATGGAGGTGACCATAATCAGCATTGTTTAGGGGAGGGGTGATAGCGGTTTGATAGGAGAGGGGTGACGACGGAGGTCTTCGCTCTAGTCCAATTCTGCTTCGGACTGGAAGCATCATCATCTTCGTATTTCGCCGGAAATTCGGGTGCGGTGAGGACAGAATATGACTGCAGGTAGATCATGGAGAGCCATGGCTGAGTTTTAGCGAGGAGATGCGGGAAACAGCAAAACAGATCTAAAAAAGAACAAGCTAGAGTGAGGAGAGAAGAAGAACAAACTGGAGGACCAAATTAGCTTGAGAGATCTTGACAAAAAGAGGGATAAAAGTGAGAGTGAGGAGAGAAAGAAACAGGAGGAGGAAGAAGAAGATTTATGATGGGGAGTCAGAAAATGGACAAATAAAACAATAATGTCTCGTACAAAAGAAAAGATAAAGAGATAATTGAATTGGTTTGGATTTAAAATGTTGGTTTGATTTAAAATGTTGGTTTGGTTTGATATCATGTAATTAAGGGTGAGTTTGTCTTTGCACAATATGCAAACATCAAAAAGTGCCACTCCAAACAAAACTACTAAAACATGTAAATACAAAGTGGAAAAGAACCAGGGTAAATTTCAACATACCAAAAAGGCAAAAACCTACACAAAATAACTAAAATCAATATGTCATGTATGCAAATCATTAAAAACAAATATAACACATTCAAAAGTAAATATAAGCGTGCTGGTCAGGAGGAAAAATATTTAAGTTTTGATTTCAATATGCGTTTATGCGTTTTTGTATGGCAAGTTTTGTTAGATATCCCTATTAGAAGTCGAATTGATTCAAAACTAATATATATAAATTATAAATATTTTCTTTTATTGCTAATTGACTTTGAGTTATAACTTAGAAACTCATAAATTTTTTTTTACATGATATCAGAGTTCAGCAAGCTTAAACGGCTATATATAACCAATCAAAGTATGATTTGTATTTCAGATATTAAAATTGAACCATTGTACTGATTCAAGCTCACCGACAATGCGTTTTTCAGTTTTTGTGTGTATTCATATTGTGGCTAAAGAGTAAATGAAATTACTCGGTGCCATAAACTTCATAGATATGTGGAGGTCAAAGGGAGAGGAAAAACCCGTATTCAGAAAAACAGCAGTAGTTGTGACCAAAGTCCTAGCTTTCAGACCAAATTCGCTATTTCTTTATGATTTTTTTTGTCGACATTTCTTTATGATTTTATAAGATTATACTAAGAGATTTAGTGAAAACATTTGTTTTTTTTTGGGCGAAGTTTAAACGCAAAATAGGTATTCAAATTCTATATCATTTTGCATCCAAAATACTCACATTTGTCTGGTGTATGTGGTTTTGCAACCAACGTCGCTAAATAATTAATATCAAATGCATTTTCATCTAGATGTTGCATGGCGAACGAACATGCAAAAAATTAACAGCTTATTAAGTAAAAGTAAAAGAATTACTCCAAAAAAAATTCTAAAAGTAAAAATATATTTTTTGTAGAAGCCTTTGGCTCAATGAGGGTTTATTAATGTTTTTACATTAAAAGATCTAGTCTTCAAGTTTCCAAAGATGTGATTTATTATTAAATACAGGTTAATGAAAACAAGTTTATGAGGTTTTCAACATGGTGTAAGAAAATCTACATACAGAAAAATTGTCAGTAAGAGCATGTCTATTGAAGTTTTATAAGTGTTTGTTAAGGGTTTCTAAACTAATTTTTGAGTTTTAAATAAATCAAAAAAGACTTATTTTTTATGGATCGATCCTTGCAAGAAGAATTTTATGGACCGATTCTTAAAGAGTTTCATAAGCCACGTGTAATGATATTATTGGTTTGTAGAAAAGATTTGGAAAAAAAATTTTGGGCAACAAAATTTCTTTCTCTCTCGACGAGGTCTATTCACGATGAAGACGGCGATGAGGCTTCTGAACGAAATCGGCGTTTAGCGAAGACGTGAAGACGTGATCGGATGTGTAATGAAGATTCCGGCATGGATTCGTCAAGGTTTGTTTGCATTTATGGTTTATTATTCATCTTTTCGAATTTAGGGTTTAAATTCGAAGATAAAATTGGGGATTTTTTGTGTAATCGATAATTTTGGAGGATGGTGAAAGGATGATGATGTTTAATGATGCTGATGATGATTCCTGTAAAAATCCCATAAGAAACTCTTGCCGGACTCACTAATGGAAGAGGAAAAGGATGAGAGTTTGTTAATTTTTCTTAACACATAAAAAATTAATAAAATATTGTTAAGGATCATTCTTTGGGTTTGTTTGATGTACATGGTCAGAGGGTTAGAACTATAATCGTCTATGTAATAATTTTATAATTTATAGTAGAGTAATAGATTTAGTGTTAAAAAAAAAGGAAAAGGTGTGGGATGAATATTCAAATGTTAAAATGAATTTTAGGTGTTTGGCAATTGAGAGTCCCAAGGCCAACTAATTATGCCTTCGGCTCTCGTGCTTACCGGACCGACCATCAACTCCTCCCTTTACTTTTGCATAATAATACTATAATAAGTAAAGCTTTTTTCATTGATGAGTAAGTGCTTTTAACTTTGTAAGTATATAATCAATTGTAATCTTTACTCTTGGTTAATGAAAGTAGATGTTTGAGCAAAAAAAAGGTAATATACAAGTACGCCAAGTGCGTGGAAGCTTTGTGTCTTTTTTCTGAACAAAATTAACTAGTAAATACATACACAGTGGAAATGGAAACAATAGAGTTATATAAGAAACACAATTTGTGTTTGTGTCTGTGTTTGTATCTGTGTTTGCAACTTTGCATTCATGCTTATTATACAATAAAGAAACAAACAAGTATTTACGATTTTATACCACTTCCTTTTTTAGTCTACCGATTCTACACAATGTTATTTACTCCCATGTTAACGATATTTCCACGCTCGCTCTTTCTCCCTCGGTTTTTTTTTCTCTCTTTATTGCAGCTGAAACAGAGAAAAAAAGGAGTTTTGCCTGAACGAAGGACCCAGTTCAGAAAAGCGTTGGTAAGAAAAATTCAAAATTGTGGAAAAAGATTTGAAATTGTACAGAAAGTGGCACGGAATCTGAAATTGGGTATCTCTTTCTTCTGACGCTTTCACTTGGAGTAATGATACTCTCTTTTGAAACATGTCTAGGTTTTCTTTTACTAGAATCTTTCTCCGAATCGAGTTTTTACTTAAAGCATGGTGCTTTCTCTTCCGTTGACTGGTCCCAACTCATTTTTTCTTAACTTTCTCGTGTTTGCTCGTGTGTGATCTCAGGTTCTTGTGTGTAGAAGATGAGTTTCGTATCCAAAATCGCTGCTTGAACTAGTTGGAATTGGAAAGAGGAGTTTTTTAAAGACATGAACTTGAGTGAAGATAAAAACGAGTTTGCCGGAGATAACAGCAATCGTGATAATGATGGTGTGAAGAACTTCGATTCGGTTAACACGCCTGTGGATTGGAGAATCTCTGCATCTAATCCACCAGTTTCGTATCATCTGGAGAATCCAATGCCGTCGATTTGTCAATCATCTAGCTCTCCTTCTCAGATGATGGATTCATTCAGACAGAATCTTTGGTATGATGGAGGTTTCAATGTCCACAGCACCGATGCAGGCAACGACGATTCCACTTCCTTTAGAGGTAATATTGATAGACCTCTTGAAATGGGTTGGAGCATGGCTCAGTTCCCTGCGGATTCAGGATTCACTGAGCGTGCTGCAAAGTTTTCGTTATTCGGATGTGGGAGTTTTAGTGAGCTGATGATGAATCAACAAGGAGCTCCAGAATCAAATGGCTTGTTTCTTCAAGATACTGAAGTTGCAAGTGGATCCAAACGAGATAATGATGGACCTGCATCTAAGTTAGTGAAAGACAGATCCAATGGACCGGGTAATGTATCAGAAGATTCTCAATCTAGTGGAGGTAATGGTCATGTTAAATGTGGGGAAACATCTTCCAGCAGTAAGAAGAGGAACAGAATTGGGAAGGTGAAGATTTGTGGTTACTCTTTTTTTTTTTTGTATTTTGTTGTTTACGCCTTCTGTAACTCTGATAATGTTTGTGCTGGTAGGACTTTGATCCTGATCAATCACGTAGAGCTCAGCAATCTGGTGAAGAACAAGAAGATAAAAAGAACAAGAAGGATGAGCAAAGCCCAAATTCAAATGCAGACAAGACAAACAGTGGGAAACAAGTTTCTGATCCTTTGAAGGATGGGTATATTCACATGAGGGCACGAAGAGGCCAGGCCACAAATAGCCACAGTCTTGCTGAAAGAGTAGGAACTATTTACTTTTCGATGTTGGATAGAAGCAAATCTCTTCTGTTCTCATTTCCTGTTGTATTGATTTGGCTAAAGTTATAGGTAAGGAGGGAGAAAAGCAAGCGGATGAAGTTCTTGCAAGATCTTGTACCGGGTTGTGACAAGGTAAGTCCTTTTCCTTTTTTACTTGATGTCTACATATAGAAGAAAGAAAGCTAAAGCTGTTCCTTTTCAAATAATATGGGATTGGATTTGTTGTGTAGGTGACTGGGAAGGCAGTTATGCTCGACGAAATCATCAACTATGTGCAATCACTTCAATGCCAGATTGAGGTTTATCTTTGTTTCCTCTTCGAATTTCCTATTGTGTTAGTTCTTGACACATCACTTGGCTAGCAATCTCACTTTGTGTTAGTTACTTCTTCCATATATATTCAGTTTTTATCTATGAAACTTTCCACCGTGAATCCTCCGCTCGACTTTGGCCTCGAAAGCCTCCTTGCAAAAGATGTAAGATATTTTGGGAACCAACTTCACTTATTTACTGTTTGATGCAGTTTGCTTTCGTATGATGTTGATTTCTTGTATTCATGCAGGCCCTTCAATTATCTGCACCGGCATTACCACAAAGCATGTCGATGCTTTATCCTCCTCTCTCGTATCCGTCTCAAACAGGAATCATGCAACCGAACTTTTCCTCAATGTCTCCCATGAATGGAGGACTTAAACGGCAGGTATATATACCTGGTTACATAGTCATTTCTTTCTCTTGGATTCATCTGATCTTGTGAGTTTTGAACAGGAAACACATGGGTACAAAAGTGATCACCACAATATTGTCCACATGAACCATGGAACTGGTACCGCACCTGATCACGAAGACGCGACAGGTGAAAGTGAAAGCCGGATACTTTTCTATTTGCAGTTACTCAGATACTTGAAAAAAACATCTAAAGCTTTTTCAATGTTTATCCTCATCTTACAGCCAACACGAAGGTGGAGCCATAGATGTTTCTTCTTCACTTTGTACTCAGGTTTGGCAGCTGTAATAACATGAGCTGTGATTGAGAATTTCATTAGGAGGAAGCAAATCTTGTCTTTGTAATCTGTACAGCTGCGGAGAAAGAGTCAAGCGTAAGAAGCACCAACATTGTTTAATGGAAAGGAACAGATGTTGTTAGGGTCATTGCCACGAGACTACTCTCTGTTGCTTCTTCTTCTTCATCTTCTTTTGTGTACATATACATCGATTGTAGAGAAAAGAAATGTTGATGTATACCGGATATGCGGTGTTTGAAGATACATTTATACAAGCCGCAATGCCGGTTTTTTTCTCTACCAATCCTCTTGGCTCGTCTCCAACAAATTCACCAAGCTCATGCTTGTTGCGATTTGTCCGTTTCCATTCTCTTTCTTGTTACTCAAAACCTTAGCTTTTGTAAGACATTGAAACCTATGCAACTGTCGATACTTTCTAGATAGCCGCAAGAGCAACAGAAATGCTGCTTCATAATCCTCTTTCATTTCCATAATCCTCGTCTTCTTCCTCCTATGTAGTCTTTTATCTCCCGTACCATTAGAAGTTCCCTTCACAACATCTCACAAATTTCAGTAAGGATCAAGATTTTCTATGTACTTCAGCTCCTACTTAGACCAAGAGATTGATGCCTAGGGCAAGCAAAGACCGTGATCAATGGGAATTAGCTCTACTTGGCAACCACATCTTTCCAACACCATTCAAGATTCTAATAATGAGAAGTTAACTGTGCTATGCTCGCTAACATCAAATCATGACCTTGAACAGAAACAGTCATTGACGTTATAATTTGAGATAGTGATGTTGACAAGAACAGAGGGAGGAACATGTCTGCAAAATGAGCCTTGTCGAAGATGAAACTTAACTGTTTATGAATATGTATCAAAATAACAACATAGACGTTGATTTGAAACAAAGCTCTCTTTTTACCCTTTTTTCAATCTACAAGAAGTTATTTATTAAACAAAAGTGGGTAATACATGCTTTTAGACGAGACAGCAGAAACGACCGAGGGTCTAAGATGTTAAAAAAAAATGAAAACAAATTTGAAAGAAACACGACTAAATTCTCTTCATCTCTCGAGTCCTACTCCACACTAAAAGCTGAAATCAACGAATATTTACACTAAATCCATACCACTCATCTCTTCTTGACCATCTTTTTTCGACCAGTCCAGTCTAAGCAAAGCCCTGAGAAACACGACTCTACACGATCCTTTATTCTTCTTCTCCTTCCTTCTTTTTCAGCCTCTGACATCTTAAAACTGACACGAAGTCCCCATCCTCTGCCTCAGATTCTGTCCTAAAGTTATCGACTTGCGCTTCGCAAATGCCGGATAAAGCAGCTCTTGATATTTTTCCAGGAAAATCGTCCACTCCTCTTCACTCATATCCGACAGCTTCACAAAGCTCGTGCTTGCTGGGATCTGTTCCTCTGCACTCCTGTGCCCAGATGATGCATATGCGCTCTCTGCTCTCACTCCTGGGTGTTTTTGATACTTCTGGCTCTTCTCACCAAGAAGAGTGCTTTTGAGAGACATTGAAATCTTCGTAATCGCCGGCATTTTCTCTAGATCAGCTCTCTCGTTCTCTTCCTCCTCTTTCTCTTCTTCTTCTTCTTCTTCTTCATCTTCTTCCTCTTTTGTTTCTTCGACCTTTGACAACTGACTACGAGCGTTTCCAAGATTGAATCCGAGTGGGAATCCTGGTTTGTCGAGCATTGCTTCCTCACAATCTAAATCAAACTGGAACTCAACATCACCGCCCAAGTCTGATCTTGGAGACTCAGCTTCCTTCTGTCCTATCAAACTCCTAGCCTCAAGACAAACCACTTCAATCTCACTCGGTTCCTCGTCTCCAGGACGAACCTCTCGAGTCATCATCTCCCCAATTTCAGCCAAGTATAGGCCATAAGCAGCTGCTTCCTTGAGTAAAATCGTGCAGAGAACTAGTACACGGAGACTGGCCTCTCTTACCATTGGAAGCTCCCTTCGCAGCATCTCACAATCTTCAAAAGGATCCAGATTTGCTATGTATTTCAGCTCGTCTTCAGTGAATGGGATCGATGCCTGTGGCCAATGAATCCACTCAAAGTAAGGATCCTCCAGAGTTTCGGGTAAGCTAAGACCGTGATCAATTGGAATTAGCTCCACTTGGCCAAACCTTCCAACACCATCCAGCTTCCTAACCAGAAGGTTCCCTGAGTGCCTGTCTGTATTTAAGATTCTGATGTCAAGAATCCCTATACGATGTACGGCTGAAACAGGGAAGCTGGATGTTCCGTGCTCGCTAGCATCATAATCATGAGGTATGAACTGCTGCAAGGAAGCAATCTTGCTCACCAGCGTCTTCTCCATATGCTTGCTCGCCTTCACTCCATCGTTGACGTTAAAGATCGAGTGAGTAATCTTCACAAGAGCCGTGGGAGGAACATTTGCAAAACTATCCTTGTCAAGGAGATAAGCCGCGACTTCTCTGTAGCCTGTTTCCCCAACCCGCACAGAACGTTTCAACCCAGGTTGTCCAAGCGCCTTACCGACAAAACCTTTTGGGTTATTTGGAGCGAAAGGCTCTTCATCAGTTGGTTTAACAATCGCAACACTCTCACCACGGCTGTTCTTAAAGTAGTACGCCCCTCCAAGCCCACTATGGACGGCAACTGGATCAATACCCCTCTTCAATGCTTTTGTAATATCCTTAGCCATTTGCCTTACAAACGAGGAACAAACCGAGTTCCCAAGAATTTCAATAGAACTGCTCTCATCTCTATGCTGCTGAAGATCACCTTTCATTGGGGAAAGGCATGGAGTCGATGAACTCCTATGGAAATTGTTCCGAGTAAGAAGGAGAGGAGAATCATTCCTGACAGCCGTAAGATCATTTTTAAGCACCAAATCCCCAAAGGTCAATGAGCTTTCCTCAGTGGGGAAATTAAGGGCAACCTGCAACTTCCTTTTCACTGTATGCGCGTTATCACTACGATCCAACTCCAACCCGAGTACACAACCAGTCTCTGTCTGTACAAAAACCCGCCTACGACCCACAGGTGACTTCATTCCTATCTTGTTAAACTCACGGAATTCCCCGGTCAGGGGGCTCTTCACAAGTGCCACTGCCATTTGTGTCTGAACAGGACTGTCAAGCTTACGTGACATGAGTGTAGCGATCAAGTCAGGAAAAAGCACAGCCTTTGCGACTAACAGTCGAAGATGGCTGCAGAATATAGTTTATTCCTTTCTTTCCCCGGGACAGGTGACTAAATCCAAAACCAGAAGTTGAATCAAATAATTCTTTCAGCAGTGCAAGGGACCATCAACCAAACCAATCCTCGAACTAAATAATGAATTACTACACTCCACGACGAGCTTCCATAGTTAAAGCCCAGATGAAAGGAACATTAACAATCTGCAAAGAGATAAAAACAAAATCAACATTTCAAGCCAAGCATAGATCCCCAAAAGTAATAAAAAGATACTAACAGAACCAAATCGTTTTCATTGACATATACTGAAACTAGCAAATGGAAGAAACAGAATCATTTGATGTATCTTCATAGAAACACTAAATGCAGAAATTTGCAAAGGAACCGGATTAGAATAACACCGTGTAGTGAATGTCATGGAAGCCGTGTGTGCAAGAACAAAATAGAGAGATCCAACTCCCGAGATTCATGTAATTAACCTTGCTTGCTCTACTTCAAAATTTAACATTGAGCTAATACGAAAACCTACGTTTGTGGCTTTCGTCAAAAAGTAATCGAAACTGATATAATATATTATGAAGAAATAATTCAAATCTCAGACACAGAAATCGATCAGAAACGAAGAACGAATTGAAAATGCGTCGACGATCCATTTATTTCTCAAGAGAAGAACACAAGCAACGAAAAATATGGAAGCAAGAGAAGACTCTCACCAGACTCGACGACAACCAATAATGACGCGCCGGCGAGGGAGGTAAATGCAGAGGAGTCGGCAAGAAAAAACCGATGATCGGAATAATGAGCTAGATGAAATGGCCAACGGAGACAAGGAGCTCGAAAGCGAATCCAGTAGAGAAGAAAATAATCAACTCGTTCCGAGTCGACTCAGATAGGTCTCTCGCTTGAAGCTGTTTTTTTCTCTCTGTTCCTATCTCTTTCGCTTAAATCTCTCTCCCATCACTTGCACAGACATTTAACCCCTACCACCGCTTAACCCAAGGGTCAAAAAACTAACCATGGTTAAATAGGCCTTAAAAGGCCCAGGAGAAAAAATATTCAAATTAAAAATTAAACTAAGGTAATAAAATAAAGACTTGCGCTCTTTCTCTCTGCTTAATAATTCGAAGGATCTAGAACGGAAGATCACAGCCGTTGATTCTCTGGAAATAATGTTGGCGAAATGAGGAGCTTACGATTGAGCACCGGCCTCTTTGAGGGGACTAAGAAACAGAGGGTGATGACGTGGACATTAACGATTAGAGCTTTGACGTGGCTGGGTCAAACATCTCAATCAAGAATGTGGATTAGAGCTTTTGGGACATTAATGAATTACCAAATTTACCCTTGTTGAGAGGACCAAATTAGTTTTCCAGTTTTGGATTATCGTACAAGTGTGTGTAATTTGATGCCGACATCTCAAGTGTATTGACGTATTCTCCAAGCAGTGAATGTACCGTGGGAAATTTTTTAAAAAACATCATTCATAATCGCAATCTTGTTTTTTTGTAACCGGATTCATAATCGTAATCTTGGTTATTATTTTTTCTTGACATCATCGTAATTAATCTTGGTTATTGTAAAGTTAGAAACACAATCATATACACTTCATGATTAGAATTTACAACTGTATTAAAGCAAAATTAGTTATAACAATTGAAAATAAATTATAGACTTGTTATCCGCTTTTAAAAACAATCTTGATATGCAATTCTAAATGTGTTCTTCGAATTAGTTTAATACAAAATTTACTAGACGGTTAACATTTGTATCCATAGTATAGTATTACATTACATGGGTGATGGATATCTACTGAAGAGAGACTACAACCAAGTGGTTCGAATAAGTCCATATATCATGTGAATTTATTTTTTGCATGGTGTTAAAAGACATCTTATGTTAAATTGTTATATAAGATTTTAGATTGTGTAAAAATCTATAAATAAAATGAGGACAAAGAAGAAGAAAAATATAATGTGAATTGATGTGTTTGCCTCAATTTCATTACTTATCTTGGGTCACGAGTATCTTGGGTTTTTAGACTGTGTAGCGTGTGGTTGTCTCGAGTATGCTGTATGCATAATTGCATATGACTGCATGAGTGTCGTATATGTCAAATAAACATTTCATTCGTACTCCTAAACATGGAGATTCAGTGGCTGACGTATGCAGACGCCATACGCTGCATGCATGTTTTATAATTTTTGTCTCCTAAGATAATTGGTAGGTGAGTTGAGCTTCTTCATTTATCGTGTCGCACAATAATATACGAGTTATATTAGGAGTAACCGACGCAAGATGGGATTTTAATGGTTGTGACTTCTTACCTTTCAATCTTTCATATACTGTATGAAGCTTATCTATATTATGCTTCTTGCACAGTAAATGGGGCAAGATAGACTTTTTAATGGTTGTCTTGTAGTAAACGGGTTAAATAGGAGTAAACAAGATGTCATTCATTCATGGGATTAAGGTTAAGTGGTTTAAAGAACTTATTTGGTTAAAGAGACTTATTTTAAAATATTCCATTTTTTCCAGGAAAAAAAATCATTATATAACTAAAAGAATCTTTCCCTCATTTATTTAAAACCCTCTTAGTACTAGGAAAAGATGTCGTTTTCTGCCACTCATTCAATCCTTTTTTACACAACATTCCAATTTCTTTTTTGACATATTTTTTTTTTAACACCCCAACTATAAATATGAACACAATATTTGTTATATTGTGAACTATCATGTTTAAGCACGATGTAGTAGAGATGCAAAGTGGTCAACGGCCGGGATAGATACTTTCCGACATAAACAAATCCATCCAATGTTAGTTTATTCGTCTGCAGGCGTATTGATATATTTCTTTACTGAAATTTCGAATCTACCTTTTGATAAGTCTTTTGATTCTGCCATAAAATTTGTGTAAAATGGAGAAAGTTTTTTTTTACAAAAAAAAAAACACCTGCAAGGGTAGAAGAACCATGGTATGCCGTATGCCACAATGAAATTTCATGTTCCACTCAAAATATGTTTGAATCTAAGTAATAAATTCGCACACAAAAAAAAGGATACGCCATAAATTTTATTTATGATTTATTTAGGATTGTTTGTGATAGAGTGGCTTAATAAATCTCAAAAATATGATGGCTCATGTTCAATTGCAAATATAATAGACATTATCTGTTACGGATTACGCACTAATACACATGTGAGTACATTCTCTTCAACGTGCATGCATATGAACATAAGATACTAAATTGTCAAAATTATATTCTTGCAGCTTAGGTTATACTAGCATTCGGCTCTGAAAACAGTTGATACTGCATTCCTGACTCCTGAGGTAGTGGACAATGCAATTTTTTGTGACATTTGAGATATAGACGAATAAAAATCGAAGGAGAAAGCAAAACTTATATGGATGATTCTGGGCAAAAATGGAGAAAAGTAATGCTCCAAAACTACATTTCACTTTAATAATAATATTCATGAAAAAACGAATATTATGAAACTAAAACTATCATAAACATGTATTAAATTAAAACTTCACTTTTATATTTACAAACAATCAAAATTAGATTCGATGTTAATATTTATGAAAGGATAAAGCCAATATACAATAATTAATTCATTGTTCCACCAATGGAAAAAACCAAGAAAAGGTCGTGCAGGCGACTAAATCCAGAGGACTGGTGAACGTGAAGGTGATTCAGTGGCTAGTTGGGAGCTATACGACGATCTTATCCCCTCACGTGTCATCAGACTCTTATTAATACTTTATTAGCCATATACATTTTTTTATTTAACCAATACTAGTAACCATATTACAGAATTAAAATCAATAAAAAAATTATTTAATAATCGTGATAATAATGACATGTAGTTAGGGATGCTATGGTAATTGAAATAAGCCATGGATTTTGGGCTATGTCCCTATCAAGATTTTGTTTTTTTCTTTTAGATTGGTGTCTACTTTCTAATTAATAGAATACTCTCTCTATTTTATAATAGTTAATTTTCTAAATATTACACATAAATTAAGAAGCAATAAATATTCAATTATTTTTATTTTTATTTTTTTGATTAATTTAACTTTACAATTAATTTATTATTTTTTATTAATATTTTTTTTTTTTATCAATAGAGAATAAAAATATGCATTAATTACAAATAAACATGTATTTATTACATACAAAAAATCAAATATTGTAAAACAAGAAATAAAGCTCAGAAAATCAACTATTATGAAATTATGGTACTAATACGGCTACACCGTTGTAAATAGTTTAGCCTTAGTTTGATTCCATCAGGAAAAGAAAAATGCAGCAGCAACGGCTACATGAAAGGATAATAAGAATATGAGTAAAATGTTTATATAATAAATTTGTGGGTAGAAGTGGGTAAATGTCAAATGGATAGAAGAGACAAATTGAGTAAATGGCAAAAGAAAAAAAAGAAAAATCAACTTCTTAATATTATTTAAAAACGGCTGAACACTTGAACGAACCACAAATATTTTTTATAATAATATATAAACACTCCGCATTAACATTGTACAAGTGTACATGATTTGGATACGATTAGATATTAAAAGAAAAAAAAATCTTTACTTTTCACAAATTTATTTAATTGTATAGAGAATATTGAAAAAATAAATATTTATAACATTCTGATTTTACATTTCAATTAATTGCTACAGATCGAATGAATTTTTTCAGTAACATATTATTTTTATATGTTTATGTTTAACTTATCCAATAGACTTTCTGACAAAACTAAACCCTACGCTTGAAATTTTAGATACAATATCCTTTATTATTAGGTTAGAACCCAAAAATACTAAAGAAAGTTTAGCTCTTACAGTATATAACAGTTAAGTGAAATGTTAAATTATCCAAACACGTCTAAGAGAATAAACGACTACTTTTCTCAATTCCATTGCTATTTTCTTAATTAAAATCACTTTACTTTTTGATATTGAGTACAAATATATTACATCGTTTTTCTATTTAGTACAAATATATTACATCGTTTTTCTATTTAGTATTCCACTAATAAAAAGGCAGATTATCGAATTTTATCAGGCAAAAAAAAGAAAAGAAGTGTGTATTTTTCATTTTGCAATGATACAGTCAAACTATTTTTCATTTTGCAATGATACATGCAGTCATGCCCTATATATATACAACTAAACAAGAACGAGGAAATGTGTATTTTTCTATAAAACTATGATGAAGAGAGGAAAAGTAATGTGTATTTTTCTTTTCTTTTTTTCTTTTTTTTGTTAGTAATTGTTAGCAAAAAAAGAAACTAACAAATAAAAGAAGAAATACTGTTTTTTTTTTTGCTAAAAATGATGAAGACATACTTGAACTGTCTTCCCATAATTTTGTCGTTATTGATTATGTGTCAGCAATGTTATGTAGGCACCCCTAGTTTCGTGATGAAACCACGTGGAATATATTTTTAGAATTGTTAAGAGGGAGACCATCTGCTCTTTTTCTACTATCGTTCTATATATATATATATATAATTTTTTTTTTAATAAGGTTTTTATTGTTCTGTATATTGTTTTTTTTTTTTAACAAATTTGTTCTGTATATTTAAACAACGAGAATTGGTGGTTTCTTCTTGTCTGACTGAATTTCCTGATTTTCTCTATGGGCAGGAGTATCCGTTGGCTGATTGCCTCTTGTTTATAGTTTACTCACCAACGCACTCAGCAATTAATCAGTCCTCTTATTTAATATTATACAAGTTTGAATATGCGGTTTGAATTACTAATTAGTATTAAATTACAAATAATAAGGTACATGCAACAAAAAATGGAGGTAATAATAAAATTACATAGGGATTTTGATGGAATAGTTTGCTAAAAAAATAGTTGAATACAATAAGCTTATGTATTTTTGATTACGACAAAAAGTTGGTGACATATGATCTTAGCATTTTCCTCAAATATTTTCATATACAACCAGA